AGTATGCCTGGGTTCTGAGGAGGGGAGGCCCATGGGGTGGGGGTGGGCACAGCTTCAGAGCTCCTGATGTCAGGGCCAGACTGGGGTGGGGTGGGTGAAGAGGCAGCAGGGGCCAGGCAGGCTCCTGGCAGGGCCGGGACATTTCTAAGCCATGAGCACGACTTGCAGGCGTCCAACTGCTGTCTGCTCCAGCTCAAGCCAGGGCCCCTCTCCAGCCCCCTTCTTTCCCTCCCAGACTCCCCCAGGGATCTGTCTGTCTGGCTCACACACTGGAGCATAGGGCCTCCTTTGTTTTTCTCCACCTCACCATCCCCCCTTCCTTTTTTCAAACTCCTCACTGTGGCCCCCATCCAACATCAGACTCCCCTCTCGGCCGCTCAACCATTGTACTGTTTTCCCAGCCCTGAAAGGCACCTCTTCCCTTTCTGCCCCCACTGAGCCAAGGTGTCATCCTGTCCACCTCCCAACCATCCCTGAGGACCAGTGTTCCTTTTGTCACTGGGTCTAGCCTCCTTAGAGACCCCTCACCAGGGTGCTTGTCCAGCCTCTTTGTGGGTCTCCCTGCTTCTCACAGGCTGCCAGAACACTCTAGATGGCTGCTCTGTCACCACCTGCTTGAAGCCTCCGGTGGCTCCCTATCACCTCGGGTTGAGGCTAGAGGAACTTCACGTCTGGCATACCTAAGGACCTTATCCATTACTGCTTGTAGCTCATACAGCCCAGTCTTCCCCTTAGCCACACCAGCCTTCCCTGCCGTTGCCTGCTCTGTTTATTTAACTCTGTGTGGCCCACCTGTCGGCTTCTGCTTGGCCATAAGGGAGGTCTGTCATTCCAGCACTCTCAGCACCCATCACAGAGCCTGGTACAGAGGCCTCGCACAAGCCTCATTCACAGATCAAATATCCTTCGAGCATGTACTTGGTGCTGGCTGCTGGGGACACAATATCTGCCCCCAAGGAGTGGCAAACACAGGCATTAGACAGTCCATTGCGAGTGGAATGTGTGTTATGAAACAGCCTTTGTTGAAAGGATGAACAAATGAAATATCCAGAGGTACAAAGTAAGAAAGCTCCACCTCAGTTCCCTTTTAACCCCTAGACAAGCCCAGCAGGCCGCCTTGGGCCGGTCCTGTAGCTGCTAGTAAGAGTTGCCTCTCATGTCCTGTCCTGGGGGTTCTGGAGCAAGGCTGCCTGCATTCAAATCCAGGTTGTGCCACATGCTGGTTGGGTGACCTTGAACCTAGCCTCTCCATGCCTCGGTTTCCTCTTCCTCCTTGTGAATATGTAGTATCTCCTTCAAGAGTATGGTAAAGCCCAGCCGGGTGTGGCTCAGCGGTTGAGCGTCGACCTAGGATCCAAGCGATCGGGGTTCGATTCGCGGTCAGGACACATGCCCGAGTTGTGGGCTCGATCCCCAGTCAGGGGCGTGCAGGAGGCAGCCGATCAATGACTCATCATTGATGTTTCTCTCTCTCTCCTCTCTCTGAAATCAATAAAGATATATTTTTTAAAAAAAGTATGGTAAGGATCACACAATCTCATCAAGTGCCTAGCACAGTGCCCACAGTTGGTAACTACTTACTAAATGTTAGCTATCTTCATCATAAATGACGATCGTCGTTCGATGGATGGACTTTAATCCTTGTCTATGGGAAGGATGGTTGCCTGCCCCTCGGTGTCCACTCTTCTCTTGGTCCTTAGTAGTAAGATCCTGGGTTTTAGCTGAACTGATTGTCTAACATCCCTTGATGAGGCCACATGACTAAATTTTGGCCAACAAGGTGCAAAGGGCAGTATCATAAAGGCAGGTAGCAATTCCCTCTTCTTTCTCCCTGTGTCCTGTTGCTGGCGTGATGGCGGGAGCTCTAGCTGCCACCTTAGTGGGGTGGAGGCCCATCCAGGATGGTGGAGGGGTAGTCTGGGGGGAGCTGAGCCCCTCAACGTCATGGAGTGGGCCAAGGCCAGCTTTGGGCTGCCTTCTAGGCCTGTTTTATGTGGAAGAGAAACGTCGATCTAGTTTAAGCCTCGTGTTTATCCTGATGCCCACTGCTGAATGTCACCCTACTAGCAATGCCAGCTGAGTTTAGCACAGGCTACAAACGGGAAAAGAGTGAAAGGTCAGTCATTGAAACAAAGTAAAGTGTGTTCGAAGTCAAGTATCAAAGACTTGCACAGTACAACTAATAAAGGAACAACAAAAAAGTAAGGTAGCAATCATGTTTTGCTTTTGCCTATCAGTTTTTTAAAAACTTAATGTATGTGGTGTGGCAAAGCAGACACTGTGCTCCCCGGATATGGCTGTGACTGAGTGTTGGGGAAGGAAATTTGCACGCACACCAAGGGCCAAGAGTCAGTAACTGCAGTCTGGAAATCCTGTCTGAAGGAAGCACTCTGACATTGAAAACATATTAGTGGACATTGCTGGCTGCCCGGCCTGGCAAACTGCTTCCCAAGTTTGGGGGTTCCCCCTAATTGGGTTATGGGGCGCTTGCTTTCCCTGGCTTCCTTTAAGTTTGGTTGGAGGCACATGACCTTAGTTTAGCCAATCAAATGAACTGCCCTGGGTTTCATTTTGGGAGGTGTTGGTTAGAGAAGCGGGAGCATGAAAAATCCGTTCTTGGGGTGGCGGTAACTCTGGAGGTGTCTGGGTTCTAGGGTCTCTGGTGACTTTGCAAGTGTGGGGCTGACTTCGGCTGCAGAGTCCTGAGCCCAGTTCTCAGCCCTCCTGGCGACTGGTTTGCTCTGCCCGTTATGTGTGAAAAAGACTCCCAACTCACACAGATGAAATGTTTACCAACTCTGACTTTGTTGGGAGGCGTTCAAGGCCTTAGAGTTGCTGAGAGACTGGAGAACTAGCTTGACCAGGGGTGGGCGGGAGCTGATGCTGCTCAAGGCTCTGGGAAACAGGCCCTAAATACTGGTCTTGAAGCAAGGCCGTCGGCCAGGGTGACGCTGCTCACTGCACAGGCCTGTGGCTTTGTCTGGTCAAGACCTAGATTCCAGAAGGTGGGAGCACCCCATCCCACCTTGCTCTGTCCTCTGTGCCCAGGGCATCACTGGGTTCCCATGGCCCCTGGCTTCTGGCTGGATTTGGCCAATGGGAGGCGCTGGCAGGAGATGGGAGAAGAGAGAGGTTGGGGTTGCTCTCTCTGGCTCCTGTCCTACCCAGGACTTCAGTTTTGGCAATGGCTGTGCCCCTCCCCCATCATCGCTCCTGCTGTAACCCCTTCACCGGCCCTTCCTCCCCTTCCTCCTGCTAGTCCGAGGGTGCCTCAACACCCCAGGCTGGGTTCCTTGATGCCCGCACTCAATAGTCCCGTCATCAGATTCTCTTAAAAACAAACAGAACAGCTGAGTCTGCCTTCCTTTCCTGCCAAGGTCTTTGGTTCTAAAAGCCCGGCAGCCTGTGGAATGTCTGGGGCAACAGCTGAGGACAAGACCCTGAGCTACTCCTCTGATTGTCACCCACCTTCAGCCTGAGCAGGGGAGTTTGTGGAGGGAATTCCTAGTAGCAGAGAGCACTCAGGAAGGGGAAAGGGTGTGTTCCCCAACCCAGGCCGGTGAGGGGCTCCAAGAGGGATGGGTGGTCTGCCAGAAAGAAACTATGGCTGAGCTCCCGAAGCCCAGCCCTTCCCCAGAGCTGCTGCCATAGCAGGGGAGGGCTGCTGAGAAGGCAGCGGGTATGAACACTGGTGCTGCCACCGGAGGGCAGGGCCTGCGCAGGCACTGGCAGGACCAGAGTGTGGAATTCCTGGGGGCCCGGATGGTGCTGAGGAACCTCAGGGCAGATGGGATCAGGGCCCACTCTAGTGGCCTCATTTCAGCAAACCGACCTCTTTAAAGGCCCTGCCTCCAAATAGTCATGTTCTGAGGTGCTGGTAGTTAGGGCTCCAACACATGACTTTGGTGGGGGGACACATTTCAGCCCCTAACAAGCACCTACGAGGGTGCGTCAGGCGCTCTTTACCCCTACGTAGGCAGCAGTGAACAGACACAACGTTCAGCTCTCCTGGAGCTAGAGAGGGCAAAGGGACAAACAGAGTGAACTGATGGCCAGGGCGTGAAAAACAGGGATGGGGGCGGGGCGGGGCGGGCATGGCGAGAAGAGGCCGTGCTCACACGGGGATGAGGCCCAGCCAGGGTCTTTTGTGATGGGGAGCACATTCCCTTTCCATATTTTTTTCTTTGTGAAGGAAAATTATGAGGAATTGGGTGTCTCTCCCCACTTTTTTGTAGTTTGGGGCTGGTTCGGTTTAACTGAGAATGCGGCCAGGAGGA